AAATGATCATCGATTGGAAGATCTGGAATACGAAGGAAGAAATAGAAATAATTAAAAGATATGCTGAGGAAGGTCGCCTTTATACTTTAGCATATACCAGTAAGATATCATATTTTTTATTTAATAATAGTTATATATATATATATATATTATATATATGTATCCTTGTTTTAAATGATCTATTATATCGTTTTTTTTTTTTTTTTAGTATATATATACGTTAGTACGATATTATATTTATCGATATCGTTTTTACCTCTTCTTCTGGACGTAATTCTACCTTTAAACGTATCACGGCCTTTGCAACCAATCGTTTTAGGCGAATACTTTATAGATCAATCTGAACACTTTTATTTCATTTTCTGTCACATGGCTTTAACAATTTTACTTGCCATGACGATTGTAATAGCAACTGATACACAATTCTTCGTTTTCACTTCTCACGCCTGCGGAGTGTTTTCAGTCATAGGGTACAAAAATATTGATTCTTCTTTTCTTTTTTTCTTTTTCCTTTTTTTCTTTCTTCCTTCTTTTTTTTTTTTTTTTTTTTTATAATAATCAAAATCTATCGCAAATAATTAATACAAAATGAATTGACTTTTAGATTTCGTTTCGAACGATTAATGAAAAGCAATGAAATTACTTTTATGATTAATGAAAAGAATAAATACTTTAATTACCGTAAATCATTAAATTACGTTGCATGTTCCATCGAAGGCCACAACAGAGCCATAGAGTTAGTATGATATATCGAAATAATCAAATTACGACTAAATTGTGCAAATGATTTTTGATTGAATATTTTCAATGAAGGTTTGCGAATCTCATCGAATCATCTTTTTCAATCCCTTTGTTTATACAATGTGGAGTAAACGTCGCATGCTTGAGCGTTTCTTTATATCGTGTAAGCATCTGTATCATTGTTCATCTTAAAATTAATAAATATATATAGATTTAATATTAATTACGTTATATTTACAGATGACAATGTTGTTGGACATGTCCACGGAAACATTCAAATACATTGCCTTTTTAGCCGCACAATTATTTCATATATTTTGTATATGTTATTCCGGACAAAGGATAATCGATTATAGCAGTGAAATTTTTTTAAAAGCGTACGTAAAAAAATTTCAATGACGATGAAATAATCTGCAAAAAATTATTTCAAATATATTATTTTATATCTTTTAAAGATACAACGGTCTTTGGTACGAGGCACCATTAGAGATAAAAAAATTATTACTTTTGGTTATAAGACGAGGCATCAAACCATCTAAATTGACCGGTGGAAATATATTTGTCTTTTGTCTGAAAGGTTTTTCAACGGTAAATTAATAACATATAGAATATATGCGTATGCACGATTATATTAATATATTTTTAATAATTAATATTATCTAATATTTTGTTTTTTTTTTTCTTTTTTTTTTTTAAAGATCGTTCACACATCTACCTCATACTTCATGTTTTTGTCCTCGATGAATTAATTAATAAATCCTATTTGAAGTAATCAAGATCTTGAATGATCATTTTCTTTCTCACATATCTTTCATTGATGAATGAAACGTAAGACATTGATGTAAATATCTGAAGAAGAACAACTTCAATGTTCGAAGAAAACAAACTTGTAATTGTCTTTGTAAATTCTCTTTCTCTTTTTCTCTTTCTTTGTCTCTTTTTCTTTCTTTTTCACCTCCGAGTAAAAAGTATTTTTCAAAGTAATGTAAAGACACTATATACTCTAATAAGTACGAATATATCACAATACATCTCAAGTAGAAAGCAATAATAAAATATTAATACGTATTATAGATTTATTATTAAAGCTTCTATCAAAGAGACTTCTTACTTCATGACAATCTAAGGGTTCAAACTAAGAATTAAAAAACACATGTACATACATTCTATCCTCTTATCGTATCAGATTGATACAACATGATAGAATTTTATTATACGCCAGCAATTATTTTCCATTCGTGATAATAATACCTCTAAGAGAAATCTATTTCTCGTAATGCCTGTCATACTCAATGATTGAAGTCTTGTTGAATATTTTACGCGATGTAAAATTTTCCTCTGACTTTATAAAAAAATATCATTCAGTCTCTCTTACATTCTCTTAACGATATGGATATCTTCAAGAATCGTTTCTATAAAATTAATTATCGTCTATTATCCTTCCTTGGTTTATGGCCATATGAAAAATCTCGTTTAAGCCGTGTTTTTCTCATGAATATACCGATGCTATCGTTCAACTTAACACAGGTAATATATATGTATAAATAAATACATGTCATTATAATATACATAATTAATATACATACGTCTAATTAATTGATTAAAAAGAAAAAAAAAAAAAAAAAAACTTATTTACATCATTGATTTATAGATTCTTAAATTGTATACTTCCAAAGGAAACTTTGATATCATTAAAGACGTTATACCAATATGGATTGGATCATCGATCGTCATTATTAAGTATTATCTTTTTGATTTCAGTGTACTCGATGTATGTATCTCCATTATAATATTCTATATCATAAATTGTTAAATACAATAAGACATAATTTTTATTTACGTAGGTTAAATCACTTATTGATGATATGATAATAGATTGGAATATGTGGAAGTCTAAGGAAGAGATTGATATTATGAAGAGGTTTGCCCATTTGGGAAGAATATATACTTTAGGATATACAAGTAGGATTACAAAACTGGTGTTCTTTTATACTGAAAAAAAAAACAAAAAAACAAAAAAAAAAAGGGGAAACGATAATTTCCCGTCAATTTCTTTTTTTTTTTCTCTCTCTCTCTCTAGTATACATATACGCTGTTACATCATTATTTCTTTTGGTTACATTTATACCACCCTTAATGGACGTAATCATACCATTAAACGAGAGTCGTCATATGAAATTACCTGTCCTCGGAGAATATTTCGTTGACGAAGAAAAATATTTCTATTTGATGTATTGTCACATGGCTATTTCAATAATGATCAATGTAACGGCATTCATTGCCACTGATACACAATTGATGATATTTTGTTGTCACGTTAGCGGTGTATTTTCGGTAGTAGGGTGAGAATTAAATTGTTGATAATTATTTTCTTTTCTTTTCTTTTCTTTTTTTTTCTTTTTCTCTTCTACTCTCTCAATATCATTTTTACTCGAACAATTTGCAATATACATTTGTAAAATGTAGTTTTCGTTTGGAACACTTCCTTAAGAACAACACCATTCAGAATGGATTGACCGATCTACAAAAGAAAGAATGTTACAATCATGTCTCGCTTTCGATCAAAGGACACAAGAGAGCATTAGAGTTAGTATTATAAAAACAAAATATAATCGTTATAAATAATTAATTGCGCGACAAGTTATGTCGCGATTAATGAATAAAAATATTTTCAAACGAAGGTTCGTCAAACACTTGGAATCTTTGTTTTCGCATTCTTTGCTGATACAATGCGGTTTGAATATTCTTTGTATGAGCGTTTGTCTTTATCAAGTGAGTTCTGAAAATAATTTTCTATATACTCTCTTCTTTTCTATAAATTTTCTTTTTATCTGTAAAAAAGAAATTTCATTTTTTTTTCTTTTTTTTTTCATTACAGGTAGCAGTTTTGTATGATGAATCGATTGAAGCTATTAAATTTATTGCAATGGTACTCGGTGAATTATTCCATTTATTATTTGCCAGTTTGGCCGGACAAAATATAATAGATTCCAGCAGCGAAGTTTATTTTAAAGCGTAAGTCTGAAACAATTTAATTAATTCATTATTCATATAATGCGTTCATAAATATAAATATATACATTATAAATAAAAATATATGATAATAATTAATTATTTTTATATGTATAGTTATAGTGGACTTTGGTACGAGGCGCCGATAGAAGTACGAAAATTATTAATATTGATTATGAAAAGAAGTCTTGAACCTTCTCGTTTATCAGCCGGAAAAGTATATATCTATTGTCTGGATGGTTTTTCAACTGTAAGCTAAATAATTACATTACAAATTTCTACGTTTGTATTGATTTTTAATAATTTATCTCAAAATATTTTTTTTTAAGATCCTACGAACTTCTACCTCATACTTCATGGTACTTTCATCGGTTCAATAATTAAACATTGACATTTGTAAATTTTTAGTTGTTTAAATATAACAGCAATTTCAAATGATCCTTCAATTTGTCTATCATCATTCGTGACAATTACATTCGGATTCATAATTCAAAACGTTCGACGATTATTTCTCAAACTTTCTATTTTAATAATTTGTAATAAAAATGATGTGAGAATTAATACGAAAAATACTGTTAATCCATTTTTCCAGAAAAAAAAAAAAAAAAAAAAAATACTTTAACAAAGTTTTTGTCATTTATTTGAAACAACAAAAGCAATTATTTTGTAAATTCTGTTGAACGATTAGAAGTACTCATTTTATTTTTCTTCTTTTTTTTTTTTTTCTTATAAAGAGAATTCATCTTATTAATTAATTTTTTAATTTATTTACTTTCCAAACCTTTTTTCAGGGAAACCGCAAAATATCTAATATAATAATTATTGGCAATATATTTTTATTAATTTAAAACTATAATATCAAGATTATAGAAATATAATAAAAGATGTCTATCAAAATTCAATATTCTTAATTATATCATTTAATGAATATATAAGATGATCAAAAAATATATAGAATATATAATTTAATATATAACATATATGTATGATTGTATTATTATGGGAACGTAAAGTATTAACGATCGTTTAAATATTTATCTCAATCATTATTGTTGTCGTCGGAGAAAAATGAATTACTTGGAACACTAATAAATCGTATTTTAAATAATGAAGAGTTACATGATCACACTGTTCATTGAAAGAAACATAATGAATGAATCAAAAATGCATAGATGTAAATATTCGAAGTTACGATGTTCAAAGAAAATAAAAAATTATGATTGTATTAAAAATATCTCTTCCTCCAAGTAAGAAATATATTTTCCAATTAATGTAAAGACATTATAGATTGTTACAACCATACATATATATCATAGTACGTTTGAAATAGATAGATAGTAAACTGATGGTAAGATATATACGTGCCACACGTATTTTATCAAACTAATACTCTGACATAAGTTTGATTTTATCTATATAAAAGATTGTCTTCTATCTCATGACAATTCAAAGATTAAAAATTTATAATTAAAACTCGTTCGTTCTTCCTACATACGGCTAGACCGATGTACATATGTATGTATGTATATTGAATGAAAGAATTCTATTACACACTAGTAATTATCTTACATTGTGTGATAATGATAGTCGTACGAGAAATCAACTTGACATAAATCATCCGTCATACTCATAACTGAGTCATCCTGAATATTTTATAAGAATATTACTGATAAGTATATACAAAGGGTTAACTTCCCTTCGATTTCTGAACGAATATCATTCAATCTATTTTAACGTTCCCTCAACGATATGGACATCTTTGAGAAACGTTTCTATAAACTTAATTATCGTCTTTTATCCTTCCTTGGTTTGTGGCCCTACGAAAAATCTCGTTTAAGTCGTGTTTGTCTAATAAATGTCGTAATATTATCGATCAATATGACACAGGTAACTTTTGATCCATTTAATAAATGGAACAAAATGAGAACAGATTTAATTAATTCATTGATTATAGGTACTTAAATTATGTACCTCTGATGGAAATTTTGATGTTATGAAAGAAGTTATACCTTTTTGGGCTACATCGTTAAATGTTGTCATTAAGTATTATACTTTTGATCTCAGTGTACTTGATGTATGTATATTCATATAATAATGATCAAATATATATATATATATATATATATATATATATATATACATATAAATCAAACATCATTTTTATTTACTGTTTCTAGATTAAATTGCTTATGGACAATATGATATTGGATTGGAATATGTGGAAATCCAAGGAAGAGATTGACATTATGAAGAAGTTTGCCCATTTGGGAAGAATGTATACTTTAGGATACACAAGTAGGATTCCAAAATTGATGTTCTTTTACGCTAAAAAAAATAAAGAAATGAAAAAAAAAAAAAAAAGAAGGAGAGAAAACAAAATTTTCCATCATTTCTATTTACAGTATACATATACATTTTCATGTCATTATTTCTATTGGTGACATTCATTCCACCCTTAATGGATGTTATTATGCCATTAAACGAAAGTCGTCATATGGAATTACCTGTCGTCGGTGAATACTTCCTTGACGAAAAGAAACATTTCTATTTAATTTATTGTCACATGGCTGTTACGATAACAATTAGTATAACAGTATTAATTGCAACTGATACACAACTGATGGTCTTTTGTTGTCACGTTAGCGGTACATTTGCGGTCGTAGGGTGAGAATTTAATTGTTGATAATTTTTTTTTCTACTCTATTGACATCATTTTTAGTTGAATGATTTGCAATTATAAATTTATAAAATGTAGTTTTCGTTTGGAACACTTTTTGAAAAATGACGTCACTCTCGACGAATTGTCCGATCTTCAAAGGAAAGAATGTTATAAACATGTTTCGTTATCAATCAAAGGACACAAGAGAGCATTAGAGTTAGTATTATGATATTGTAAATATTAATTGCAACAAATTTCATTCTGATTAATCAATGGAATTTTTTCAAACGAAGATTCGTCAAACGCATGGAATCATTATTTTCATATTCTTTGCTGATGCAATGTGGCTTGAACATCGTTTGTATGAGCATTTGTCTGTATCAAGTAAGCGTCGATTATAATTAATATACATATTCTTAATTAATGTTTTTTTTTCTTTTTAATCTCGATAAGCGTAATATATAAAAAAAAAATTCAATATTTATCACAGATAATAAAGTTGTATGACAACTCAGTAGAAACAATTAAATTTATTGCATTTTTCATTGGCGAGTTATTTCATTTATTTGTTGCCAGTTTATCCGGGCAAACTATAATAGACTATAGCAGTGAAGTTTATTTCAAGGCGTGAGTAACATGTAATTGACTTCAGTGAATAATCTGAAACAATTCAATTAATCCATTATTTAGTGTTCCATATATATATATATATATATAAAAAATATATGATAATAATTAATTTTTTTATATGTACAGTTATAGTGGCTTCTGGTATGAGTCGCCTATGGAAGTACGTAAATTACTGATATTAATAATGAGAAGAAGTCTTGAACCTTCTCGGCTGACTGCTGGTGACATATTTATCTACTGTCTGGATGGTTTTGCAACGGTAAGTTAAATTAGAATTTACAGATATATACATCCATATAAATTTTCTAATTGATCTTAAAATTTCTTCAAGATCGTGCAAACTTCTACCTCATACTTCATGGTACTTTTGTCAGTCCAATAATTAACCATTGATATTTGTAAGTTATTAGTTGTTTAAATATAGGATTTATTTCAAGTTATTCAATTGTCATCCATGAAATTTACAATGTGTATTCATAATTCACAACATGAACGATTATTTCTCTAATCCAGGAATTTGTGATAAAAATTACAATGAGAGAAATGATTTGAAAATTTTTATCAATCAGTCATTGAATAAAAGAAGATCAAATTTTTTTTACCTGAGAACGTAGCCTCCGTATACTCTGATAAGATAAATGATTAATTTTTGTATTTATATTTAGAATTATTTCTACTTTAATAGTGAACAAACATATACTTGAATTAGTTATTTACAATGCTAATAAATTGTATTTGGTATAGTCAAGACATAAATGATCACTGTTTTTTTTTTGCCACTTCGTTCATTGGAATACATCGAATGAATTTGCTTACCTGCAATATTCGAAGAAAATAAACTTGTAATTATCTTTCTAATCTCTCTCTTTCTCTCCCCCGCCCCTCTCTCTCTCTCTCTCTCTCTCTCTCTCTCTCTCTCTCTCTCTCTCTCTTTAAGTAAGAAATATTTTTCCAAGTAATGTAAAGACACTATATCCTGTTTGAATTATATATGTATCACAGTAAGTTCGAAATAGATAAACTGATGATAAAAAATTACTACGTGTTATACGTTTGTTATCAAAGTAATATCTATGTTTGATTTATTCTAGAAAAGACCTTTTTATTTCCTGACAATCCAAGGGTTTTAACTTATAATTAAATATCGTTCATTTATTCTTTCGTATTCGACTAGAATGATGTATAATCAATTGAAAGAATTCTATTACAAACTAGTAATTATCTTGCATACGTGATAACAACGAGTATAAGAAAAATCTATTTCTCCTAAAGCCTGTCATATACTTGATTGAAGTCTTATTGAATATTTTATGCGAGGGAAAATTTCCCTCCAATTCGTTAGAAAATATCATTCATTCTGTCTTACGTACTCTTAACGATATGGAGATCCTAGAGAATCGTTTCTATAAACTTAATTATCGTCTTTTATCTTTCCTTGGTTTGTGGCCGTACAAAAAATCACGTATGCATCGTGTTTGTCTTATAAATATTCCAATATTATCATTCAACATAACACAGGTAAGATCTTCATCCTTCTAATAGTTCTTAAAAAGGGATTGTTTTATTTATTTATTTTATTAATTGTAGCTTCTTAAACTGTACACTTCTAATGGAAACTTTGATATCATGAAAGAAGTTATACCTATTTGGGCTACATCGTTTAATGTCGTCATTAAGTATTATCTTTTTGATCTCTGTGTACTCGACGTAAGTCTAAGATAATGATCTATATCCGATTAAATATAATTAAAGTGAAATATTTACTTACACTCGTAGATTAAATTGCTTATGGATAATATGATAATGGATTGGAATATGTGGAAGTCCAAGGAAGAGATTGACATTATGAAGAAGTTTGCTCATTCAGGAAGAATGTATACTTTAGGATACACAAGTAGGATTCCAAAATTGGTTTATTTTATGCTGAAAAACAAAAAACAAAAACAAACAAAAAAAAAAAAGAAAAACAAAATTTTCTGTCATTTCTTTTTCTAGTATATATATACGTTTTCATGTTCTTATTTCTATTGGTAACATTTGTACCACCCTTAATGGACATAATTATACCATTAAACGAGAGTCGTCATATGGAATTACCTGTACTAGCTGAATATTTCATTGACGAACAGAAACATTTTTATTTGATTTATTTTCACATGGTTGTTTCCATAATGATTATTATAACAATTTTAATTGCAATTGATACTCAACTTATGGTTTTTTGTTGTCACGTCAGTGGTGCATTTGCGGTCGTCAGGTGAGAATTAAATTATCGTTAATTATTGTTCCACTTTCTTTAAATTTTTCTATTTAAACTATTTTCAATATATCTTTACAAATCGTAGTTTTCGTTTGGAACACTTCTTAAAGAACGATGCAACATTGGATGGATTATCTGATCTTCAAAGAAAAGAAAGTTACAAACATGTTTCTTTATCTATCAAAGGACACAAAAGAGCTTTAGAGTTAGTATTACAAAAGAAAGAAATTGTATAAATTAATTGCGACAAGTTTTGTCGCGATTAATGAATGAAATTTTTCAAACGAAGGTTCGTCAAACGCATGGAACTTTTGTTTTCGTATTCATTACTGGTACAATGCGGCTTGAACATTCTTTGTATGAGCATCTGTCTATATCAAGTAAGTGTTCATTATAAATCATATATTTTTTGTTTTTAATATTTTTTGTTTTTTCTTTCTTTTCATAAAAATAATTTCATACATTATTACAGATAAAACTGTTGTACGGTAAATCAATAAAAGCAGTTAAATATATTGCATTAGTAATTGGCGAGTTATTTCATTTATTTGTTGCCAGTTTATCCGGACAAACTATAATAGACTACAGCAGTGAAGTTTATTACAAAGCGTGAGTAACATGTAAATGGACCGAATGAACAATCTGAAACAATTAAGTTAATCCATTATTTAGTGTTCCATAAATATACGTATGTAATTAAATAAAAATATATGATAGTAATAAATTTTTTTATATGTTCAGTTATAGTGGCCTCTGGTATGAGGCTCCTATAGAAATACGTAAACTACTGATATTGATAATGAGAAGGAGCTTTAAACCTTCTCAGTTATCAGCTGGAAAAATATTTATCTACTGTCTGGATGGTTTTTCAACGGTAAACTAAATTAGAAATTACAGATTTATACATTCATATGATTTTTCTAATTAATCTCAAAATTTCTTCAAGATCGTGCAAACTTCTACCTCATACTTCATGGTACTTTTATCAATCCAATAATTAACTATTGATATTTGTAAGTTATTAGTTGTTTAAATATACGAGCAATTTCAAGTTATACTATTTTCATTTGTCATTCATGACGTTTACATGTGTATTCATAATTTAAAACATGGTCGATTATTTCTCAAACTCTAATCTAAGAATTTGTGATAAAAATGATGAGAGGAATGATTTGAAAAATTCTGTTAATCCATCATTGAAAAAACAAGATCAAATTTTGTCTCCTGAGGATGTAGCCTCTGATGCTTTGACAAGGTGTTGTAATAACTGAAAAAAAAAAATAATTCTAAAAATTCTGACATATATAGAAGGATTCATTTTGTTATTCTTTTTAAGAAAACTTATCTCATTAATAATTTATAAATGGATTTACTTTTCTATAGCCTTTTCAGTGAAACTGCAGGATGTTTAAGCAATCAGCGATACATCAAAACACCTATCATTCGGCTATCAACGAATCAAGTATGTACATTGTATATATCAAACAATTGATTTTTGTATTTATATTAGAATTATTTTTACTTTGATTGTGAGCAGACATCAATTGCATCTTCCTCAAGTCAAATTAGTCCAAATTTCCAACGTAAATCTATTGTACATCGACATGTTTCACCTCATCCACCTTTATTTAGGCAAGGAATCACTGAAACAGATACTTTCAAATCTGTAAGAAAAACAAGATCCATGGTATTTCCTAAAAGTGTGACATTTTTATAATATTATACATTAACAGATATGATACTAATTGATGGCAATATATTCTTATCAATCTAAAACTATATAGTAATGAATACGGGTTGGCATAGAAGTGCCACTGCTTCCACTCCAGATTTAAAAGTTGATCATCAAAAAACATTATCTGTAACAACATCACCTAAAGAAAATACAAAATGGCAAAGTGTATACAAAATATGGACTTTAACATATAATATGCATGTCTTAGAGATTACACTTGATTGTATTATTTTGGTGGGTAAAATGTTCAATAATTCATTGACATATATTATGTAATTATTATCTTTAGCTTGCAGGATTCATACACTTAGCTGCAGCTATAATTCTGGCTATAAATAAAAACATTATACTGACAATAGTAAAACAAGAAATACATAATTTAATACGAACAACTTTTATTATTATATCCTTAGTACTCTTGATCTATTCTATTATCGCACTTTATTTCCTTCACAAAGGACGACAAAAAAGAGCAATAGTTGGTGGCAACATAAACACTACATCTTATTTTTTCATATTAAATATCTATTTTCTTCTTTTAGCATGCAGCTACTTCTTTAATTATGGCATTAGTTATGCTATTCATTGCTTCCATTCAAAATAGAATAGAAATTAAGATTTTAAAAAATGTGGAAATGAATATGCTCTCAATGATTAATTCTAAAACAATAAATTTTTCTTCATCTACTTTGGATAAATTTCATATAATGGTATGGATTATATTATAAATAAAATTAACAATATATAATCACTTGATAATTAATTCAAAAATATGTCTCATATTGTACAGTTTAAATGTTGCGGAGCAAAAGGCAATTTGGATTGGTGTAAAAATGAGAAATTTCTCAAGGGAATCAATTTGAAAACTGATCAAATAAATTCTATGAATCTTTTAGGTCTTTACATTTGCCATATTCCAATATCTTGTTGTGCATCATCTGTCAATGAATATAATGTATCTGCGATATCAAATAGGTATAAAGATAATGGCAAAGAATGTTATTATCAATTTTTAATATAAAATGATCACTGTTGTTATCACCAGTCAAAAGTCATGCTCATTGTATCCAACACCATGGAATACCTATCGTCCTGGATGTTTAACACCATTGAAACTTGAAGTATATTACATGGGTACATTATATAGAGTTATATGTTTTACAACTATAACAGTATTGGTAAATATTTCATATTCTCTTAATATATATATATTAAAACAGAAACTATCAAAATAATGTTATTCTTTTGTTTTACACAGCTTTTATCTATGGCATCTTCGATACTTCTCTGCATTTATCCATAAAGCAATCATAGTATGAAGTATAAGTAACAATCGCATAATATAGAAAAAAAATATAAAAATTAAGAAAAAAAAAAAAAAAGAAATTTTTCTTAATATAAAATTTGTATCAGTGTGCATAGCGTAAACGAAAAGACATCACGTTCTAATAACTAAGGTTATTATTACTTATGTAAAAAATAAAACACATCTGTGTTTGTAAATGTAAATCTAATTGATTTATAAACTAAATTTATATAAACGAATATATATATATATATATATATATATATATATATATATATACACAAATATCTTAATTATTAAATTACTTACAGAATTTTTTCAGCATTCTCACACGTTCCAATATCAACAACGACATTGTCGCTAGTGCAGCACGACATAATTCAAACTAACCGCGCAAATTTTCAAATGAATTTTTCCTTTTCTTTCACCAAAGAAATAACCTATAACATAATTTCTGATATAAATAATATGATCGTAAAAATATACATTATCGTATTAAATAAATTTGAACATTAACTCGATTTGCTATTTGAAATGAAAATAATGACATATTATTTTAGATCACTATTGTATGCTAATCATATTAATAATATGAATTTTTATTCGTACGTAGCTTCCAATCGCAATTCGATTAAATATCGATTATCGTGTAATCTATGATTTCTCGATTATTAAAAGTAAACATTCGAGTTTTATTGGTATGAAAGATACATAAATATATATATATATATATATACCGCAAGTTATTCGTCTAATCGCGCGATTCGTTCTAGCGCGCGCGCTACATTCGCGTCAAGAAAAAGACAGAAATACTAGCGTTGACTTATTCGATCAGGCAGTCGATCGCGGAACGCTCAGGTGTGCGTTTATCGCATAGCTAATATAAACGTTGATCGTGTGATATGTTAGTTATCGTTTGGTGACACACGTGGATCAAATAAAAAAAAAAAAAAAATAAATAAATAAATGTGCATATTAATATCGTGATTATAAGAACAAAGACAAATTAAAAAAAAAAGAAAAATAATAATAATAAAATCGTAGAGACGACGAATATAAAGAATTTGTATAATAAAATATTCTTTTTTCATTCTTTTTTCTTTTTTCTTTTTTTTTTTTATATACCAATAATAGAATGCAAAAACATCAAAAATATGTATCCTCGTTTTCCAGAAGAAAGATGTCGTATTTCGGAACGAAACTTACACTTTTTATGATCGCGTGTGGCCTTGTTCTTGGTCAAAGTGATAATCAACAGGCCAATGATCCAGACAGGATCTTTTTTCCTGAATCAACCAGTCTAAATGCCGCAGATAATATAAAAAGATCTACAGCAAGGTCGAGACCGGATGACAACGTACTCTTGGTAAATTAATACATGCTTTTTGTTTTTCATTAAAGTAACATTAAATAAATACATATTGATAATAAATAATTAACAAGTTACCTAAGAAAAAAGACGTAAATCAATACTCATTGTTATATTTAATATCTTTTCGTTACATTCTCCTTCAATATTATGAAGAAATTGTTTGTAAGGAAAAAAAAAAATACAGAAAAAAGAAATAAATAAAAAATAGAGAAAAAAGGAAAAAGAGAGAGAGAGAGAGAGAGAGAGAGAGAGAGAGAGACGAGGAAAAAAATGATAATTAAAGATGCTGTTGTCATTTCAATTAGAACTCTTTCCTCGTAATACTACTTACATGATATTTATGAATTACAAAGCTTTGCGTTCCTAACTCGCAGACTTGCGTAATCCTTCAGATCGCGAAAATTAGGTCCGCTTATGTTGGAATTTCATTGTTTTCATCATCGACACATTATTATTATCTTTTTTTTCGTTTTAACGTTATTGCAGATATCAATCCTCGTATCAATTCGATAACGTGCATATATGTGTGCGATATATATATATATATATATATATATATATATATATATGTACGTGGTATATAAACAGTGTACCTGCATACACACATAGATACACTTATTTGATTTAAAGGCCTGTTAAGAGGATGATATTGAACGTATGTATGAATGTATCTCGTTTCCTTCCAAGAGTTACATTCAATTTCTATTCAGGCCCGTCGGATGACGTCGAAGGCCGAATTATTACTAATGTCGAGGACGTTTGTACCTTCGATTACCTAGAATGCAAGTGTGTTCATATAGAAACATATGTATGTATGTATTCATTGTATGTACATAATTATAAATTCTTTGCACGGTGTTCACCATATATATAATATGTATGGTGTATATGTATATATATATATATACTTAATTATCCAATGATCCTTAGTATAACAATTGTGTAAATTCCACATTTGTCACCATGCATAGATATTTTAGTCACAAATAGAGAATCATTATCTCTTTACAATACATATTTCTCATTATTTTCTTGGAAAGTCTATCGGAATTATGTGTTGTTAAAAGTGAAAGTATGCATTCATTATTTTCTTGCTCGTTATATCATCGTAGTAACGATCAAAAAAATATCATACACGGAACAAGGATATTTTTCATGAGTAATTGGATCTATAAAAAAAATTTATAGTCTATAAATAAATATATATATATATATATATATATATATATATATATATTATTGTTTATAAATATAAAAAAATAACAAAGACAAATTTTAAATTAACAATAATATCTACCATATCTGTTATAAACAGATACATATGCAAGTATATAATTATACATTTTGTTTAATATATATATATATATATATATATATATATTTTTTTTATTTCTTCGTCGACAGAAAATAAAAGACAAATCGCGATCTTGAATCATAATCATCAGAAAGTTGATGATTAACTTTGATCTTATCTAATCAAATCGTTACTATAATCGTTCCAGCTTCCAACAACAAGGACGAAGGAAGTTCTGCATTCTAGTTAGTTTTGAATTAACCGGACGCATTAAATCCACGTATATACTGACCGACTTGTCAAGTTTATTTAACTAGGACGACATCTTTTAACACGTACCGTGTCAAGTCATTTTTGCCTGACTTGTCGTTCAGGCCATTTGATATTTTGACTAAAGAAAAAAATGACTGCGTGTACTACCGGTGGTACACGTGACCTGAAGATCAAGATTAACGTGTACCACCGGTGGTACACATGGCACGGAACGTGTCAATACTTGAATTCTGCGTTCTTACACTTCATCTCGTTTGTACATTAAGTAAGACGTATGATGTGACGTTGTATCGTTGTTACATTCTTGGAAGAACGTTAATAAATGAATGAATAATGTTTAATCAACTTGAGTCTTCATTGAACTCCGATACGTCATTTAAAATACGATAATAACAATTTCTAAGTTTAATATCGGAGCCTTTAGAAATTCTTGTTTTTTTCTTCTCGTTTCTTATTTTTTTTCTTCTTTTTTTTTTTTTTTTTTTTTTTAATTTTCATATTTACACAATAAAATATCAAAAAGTATATAATTATAATAAATAATTCATCTACTGCTACTACTATTGTTTACTATTTTTAATTAATAAATTAAATTACCAAGAAGAGAAAAATTATTGCAGTATTATTTCTTAGACATTTATTAGGAAAGAACTCGTTCTCTTTGCACGGTAACTTATTTTACTTATTGGAATATACAAACGAGTTTAACAACAGGTTCTCTTCTCGACCACTGACCGGATTTTATAGTTTCAAGAGTTTTGCCTGTTAGAAAGTTATCCTTCCTATTTTTGCACAAACTATAATAAAAATTATCGTACTTAATATTTTATTAATAACATATGACACACTTTAATCGTTCTGCTCAATCATGATTTAAAATTTTAATTATTAGAAAGTACATACGTACGTATGTTGGCAAGTATTGAATTATTAAGCTAATAACACACAACTAATTTTAATCATATTGTTACTCTATCATTGTAATCATCATTGTAATCGTAGTCCTTTAAAAAATATAACATTTTGTTATATCGATTAATAAGTCGCATTGTTATCATCTCCATTCGATTGAAAATATAATTTAAAAAAAAAATACATGTAAATGAAAGACGAAGATGCATTAAGACCGGTTATTTATTATATTTCAATGTCATCGTCACACGTAAGTCAACATCACAGATCATTGCGTTTATCGTACGTCCTTCGCTTAACACAAGACCTATTTTTATTATAACGCGTAATGATGTTATCAAGTAACGATTTAACATAATTCATTGTAATTATGCGGTTTTTTTCTCCATTTCTTTCTTTCTTTTTTTCTTTTTTCTTTTTTTTTTTTTTTTGTTTGTTTATTCGTTCGTTTTTCTTTTTCCTTACTCAGAAACAAAATTTTATATTAACAAATTGTTCAATAAGAATCATCGAATAAGAATTATTATTACTTTTTGTATATAATATATAATAAAATATAAAAAAGAATTTTTTATATTTCGTTCGAGTAAAATAATCTTTGAGAATCTTTTGATTTGATATGTAACTTGTTAACGAGCTATACTGTGCGTTCATTTCTTTTTTTTTTTCTTTTTCTTTTTTACATTATTTACCTTCATCTTCCGCTTGAAAAATCTCTATTTGTATTTTATTATCGGTCTACAAAGAAATATGTAAAAATTATTATATCTGTATTATACAAAAATTGTTATTAAACATTAATAAATAATATATATATATATATATTTATATATATATTTACATACTTATATATATATATTTTTTTTTTAATAGAAAATATTCGTATACCTTGATAAATAATTTTAAGTTTATTTAACTTTATACGCATAATTGTTAATTGTCACCTTGTAAATTGATCCTTCTTGAAAAATGAAACGATTATAATAATTTTTGGATAACATCCTCACATTCTTTTTCTTTTTTTTACTTTACGGATTATTGACCTAAGGAGATCGATTTAAAAGATAATTATCACCTTAGTCACAACAGTATCCGCGATCGAGGATGATGATTCAGGAATTGATTAGTACTGGGAATACCCTGATCGATGGATCAGGTTTTTATTTTTACTCGTAATAGTATTTTTTTTTCTTTTCACATTTTTTCTTTTCCCTTTTTTTTTTTTTTGAAATACACTTTCCGCATGTCGTGCTATGGAATGAGAAAAAAATAATTATATATACGTGTGTTTGTGTGTATGTGTATATATATATATATATATATATATATATATATATATATATATATAAGGAAAAAAGAAAATATTAGTCGATGAGATCAGTAAGATAAGATAATTCGTTCAATTTTCAAGAAATTCAAGGAATTTCAATTATTTCCAATTATTAATTATATTGGCATGATCAATAACAATTTTCAATGGTTTACATTGAAATAAATAATATTTTTAATAAATAACATTTATTAAAAATATTTCGTACCTCAAATCTAAATAAATAACAGCGTATAGTATATTTGTTTTTTTTTTTTTTTTCAATTTTTCATTGAAAACTTTAAATATTTTATATTTAAATAAACAACACTAATATTATTTATATTGAAAATTCATTGCTTATCGATCGATCCAATAAAATTATCTTGCGATATATCTAATCGATCTTGAGGATAAAAATTGAAAAGAAAAAAAAAAAAAATATAGAAAAACAAGCTTTATTAATGATTAATAAAATAAATAGATAAATATTAGCCCGTTAAGAATATTTTTATGATCTTCTTCTATATATGCTATCTATAAATTATCAGCGCAAATGATTTTCTTACCACGTTACATTATTTTTTGTCGGCATGTTAAAAAATATAAAAGAGAGAGAGAAAGAGAGAGAGAGAAAGAGAGAGAGAGAGAGAGAAAGAAAAAAAGAGAGAGAGAATCTTGCGTGGGCTACACGGTAAAGTGCAATTTGTAAAGTAGACAATAAGATTATCGTTGGCGCTATAAGTGCGTCACTAAATATTGCCAAGCTTGCAAGAGTATGTCTTTTAAGTGCTACAATATAATAGTTATCTTCCTCACCCGCCTCACGTTTTTATTTATTTTTGTTTTGTTTTGCTTTGTTTTCTTTTCTTTTCTGTTTGTTTGTTTCTTTTTTTTTTTTCTTTATTAAAAATATGACTGGCTTTTCAAAAGGATTTGCATGTCGAGGACAGAACATTTATAACAGAGAGAGAGAGAGAGAGAGAGAGAGACTGTAAAAAAAATATTAACTTAGGATATCAAAAATAATTGAATAAATTTATATATGCGAAAAAAAAATATATATATATATATAATCCATCCAAGTAAAAATTAAAATTATGAAATTATAAATTGTGCATTATCTTGATGAAATATAAATTGTATATGACAATTAATATCATCGTTTGAATAATTAAATAAAGCTTGATTAATTTATCATATTATATTGTATAAATTAATAAATGACGTTTATTTTCTTCTTAGAATATTCATAAATTTAAATAATTTTATCCTTCCGAGTAATACGATTGAATTACAACGTTGTAATTGTTTTTTCCTTTTTTTTTTTTTTTTTTAACATTGTCTGCTATCAAACAAACAGGGAAGGTTATTCTTATTCTTCATTATCATCCACGTAAATCGGATTCTAATTTCTAATTCTATCTGACGTTTCTTTCCTTATCTTTTTTAGGCTTCATTAAAAATCGCTCAACGAATAAATTCGATCGAATCTTATGAAGAGTTCCTCGAGTTTGTCAATGTTCCAGAGGATAAAAAAATTCATATAGCTGGTAAGCATTAATACAATTAATTGATTAATTAATTAATAACAATTGTAATAAAAGATTATTTATATTTTTCTTGCGATATGAAAGAATAAAGAAAACAAAATTAAAAAATATACAAAAATCATTTCATGACATTTTACGTATCACGCGCACATAAACGCACTATATTAAAAAGTGACAATAAAAATAAAAATTAAAAAGAAAAAAAAATCAAAAAAAAAAAAACGAAAAAATGTAGATTGCCTTTAAATTCGTATTCGCTACTGCAACCTGATCTTATCTTAAAGAAAAAAAAAAAAAAAAAAAAAAAAGAGAAGGTAAATGTTTTCAATTACGAATAAAGTACACATGTATGTGTATGTGCGAAGAGAATCGCTTATCCAAACGTAAGTTGTTATCAGTAGAAATATGAGATCATCCTATAAATTATCATTATCCTCATATATTTAATCCCTTTTTATAACATTTCACTCGATATTTCAAAATTATTCGAAGAAAAGAGACAAAAAAGAATAATAATAAAAAAAAAAAAAAATAAAAAAAAAAATAAAAAAAAAAGAAAAACCTTACGCAATATGTTAGACTTAATTGTAAACATTAATTTATTTAATATAATTATTTCTTTAATAAGTGTATTTAATTTAATTAATTAAACCGGAAGGAGATTGTTTAATAAAAAGAATATCCAAACGTGAACTCTAATTCACGTGTATAATCAGTCTTTTAAATTGTAATAGTATAAATTTAATTGTTTTCAAAATAAAACATCCTTAATAAAATATCCCCCGTCACATTTTTTAATCTCTTCAAGTTAATCACATTGGACGGGCTTCTTGAACGTATGAAATTTTCATTGAAAATTGTTGATCGATGAGATACGTAAATCCATCTTGTTCTTTTGAAACGTAATATGCAATTTGTAGTTTGCAAGAACCCTAACGTCATATTAAATTCCTGACTAAAGTACCTTTTGTGTATGGCTCGTGTCGTATAAAATCTGTGATAGTATACAGAAATGTTCTTTTTTCTTTTTTTTTTTTCTTTGTTTTTTTTTTCTTTTTTTTTTTCCCCAGATAATTTGCAATTTTTATTTTCTCATAAATCTCATTCTTTTTTTATATATATACATATAACCATCATCATTCCTTCCAATATTCTCCTTCCAATTTGATATTTCCTATAGCAGCCTGAATATATAGGATGAGCCAAAACTGTATAAATGATTTTTAAAATCAATTTTAAACCCCTTTATCGAGACTCTTTTAATAAGGTTCGTAATTTTACAATCTCTGAAAGCGAAAAAAAGAAATAGTTGATTGAAAAAAAATGTAATTGATATTTAAAATTCACTTATAAAGAAACTTTTGATCCATCCTGTATTTTATCTTACTCCATTCGTTCGGTTAATACCAAACGTATCTTCTTCTTCTTCTTCTTCTTTTTCTTCTTCTTCTTCTTGCTTGCTTGGTTGTACTCACTCTAATGGTCCTGATCTCATTGGTGCCATTTCCTCTTCCAATTTTACTCTATTGATGTTCTTCTCTCTCTCTCTCTTCGTCCATTCTCGTATCATATATATAAAGCTTGAAAAGATTGCATAAATCGGCTTCGTTTCATCGCACGTACACGATATCATCTTCTTGATACTTCAAAACTTCATTCGAATTTATAGCTCATGTTTTCACCCTTGAAATAAAAAAAAAAAAAAAAGAAAAGAAAAGAAGAAAAAAAAAGAAAAAAAAAACGGAAGATCCAAATCTCCAAGTATATTTTATTCAAGTGATTTCAATATCAACCTTCTTTATGTTTCTTCGATTTCGAAAGATCCTGTTTTCTAATTGAGTCATATGTATATATAATTGACATTGAAGATTCGACATTTAAAGTAGGTTTCTTCTTTTTTTTTTTTTTTAAATATAACCAATTGATCCCCCTCCCCCTCCCCCTTATCCCTGTCCCTATCCCTGTCCCTTACTTCGAGAAAATAATATTAAAGATATAGGAAAGTAGTTTGTGAAATCATACGTGACATGTTTGAAGAAATGAATCATTAAAAAGATTTTTACCTGTTACCAACAGTTCTTTTCATAATAAATATCAACGATCGATATTAACGCTTTTAAATAGGAATTGATCAGGTTCTTTTATGCGATAAACTTTCGAATATTTCTCTGGCCTCGGGCAATTTTATCGGGCAAATCCGAGGATAATATTTTTGAATAAATGATTCTCCCTAAATGTGAAAAGCAAGATTATTTCGAGTAAAGGAATCATTTGGAAATGTCATTCCAAGAAAATATTTATTCATCAGGCATTAACAACTATCTGAAAAAAAAAAAATAATATATATATATATAAATTGTTAAATTTTTAATCAAAGATAAATATTCATTTTGATTAGGTAGAATAGGAAATAGCGAAGAAAGATCGAATGCAGAACGACCGAAGCCGGCTAATTGTATGCCAGAATTACAAGCAGTATCCTTGAGACAAGAAAATAGACCTTCTACATTTTATTATCCATCTTGTACGAGAATCAAAAGATGCGGTGGATGTTGTGGGCATTATCTACTAACGTGTCAACCTGTTGCATCAGAAATTCGAAATTTCGAGGTGAGTTATTTAATCAATCGAGTGATCTTCCATTATTGATAATGGAATAACAATTTATATTCTCTTTTTTTCTTTTTTTTTTTTTTTTTTAATATCAAAGGTAATAGTCTCAGAAATCGGTGAAGATTTACAAGTAACATATAAAGGTAAAGAAATTGTGGCATTGGAGGAACACACGAAATGCAAATGTGATTGCAAAGTTAAGCCAGAGGTAATTAAATCAAGTAAATTGTTAATAGATAATCGAATAGCATTTCTTAAACTTGTCTACTTCTATCTTATTTCACATATAAATCCTTTTTAATCCATCCAATTTTGATACCAATATAGATTAAATTTTTTTCTTCCCTAATTTAAAAATAACTACATTACTTTCGTCGAATTAACAAACGTGTCCTATTTTGAAAAAATTCTTCCATTATTATATCCATCCTAATTTCTCAGCATCGAACGTTAAAGTACACGTTTGAAAGTATTTATCTTTAAATTATCATATACGCTTTGATTAAATCAAATTACGCGTTCTATGATAAGATAAAAAAATGTCTTTTTAAAATGTTCGATATGCAATAAATAATAATTATATATTTCTTATTATTTAAATAAAAAAGAGAACATATAATTTAAAATCTTAGCACTGCAATGAAAAGCAAGTCTACGAAAGGGACGAATGTAAATGCGCTTGTATAAATACTGACGAAGAAGAAAAATGCAAGGCAAATAACAACATTAAACTTTGGGATAGTGAAGTCTGTACTTGTGCCTGTAGGGAGATCGAAGAGTGTTCAACTGGGTCCTATTTCGACCACAATACGTGCAGGTGTGAGAAGAAACAATAAGGGGAAACTGCTAAAAGGATTACTTCTGCACTTCTTACCGTATTCTACTCACTATCATTATCTTGTAAGCTGTGAAGCACGAAGCGTTCCTATTTCACACAAATTTTATTCATTTCTTTTTTTTGTTTTTTTTTCTTTTTTTTTTTTCTTTTCTCTTTTCCTTTCTTTTTTATATTCTTTTATGTCTCATCGCTTGATGTCAATTGTTTTCTTCACAGCTTTTTTTTTGCTTTCTTCTCTGCATTCATCTTATTTTTCTAAAAAAAAAAAATTATGCACCAAAGAACCATATATACTCTAATCTTGTTGCTAGTCTTGATACTTATATAATCCAGTTTGCTCTCATGCTATTTATATTATTTTTTGCACATACATTTTTTTATTTTTTATTTTTTTTTCTTCTTCTTACTATTACATATGATTGACAAAAATTTATTAATATCTCTTATCAATTGGACAATTCTGTAACACAAATAATATTTATTCAAGGTGTCAAAGAGTTCCAATATTCTCACAGTTTGGAGATTTATCTAAAAAGATGGGATACAGATTTGGGCAAACTCAAAGACCTGAAAGCGTACCACCTGTGATAGTGACTTTAGATGCCTCAGATCCAAGGCGGAAACAGAAAGATGATCCTGAATATTAATGAAAATGAAATTAATTGAACTATACGATATGACCAATGATAGATAACTTTTTACATGGCCACGCTTATATTTATGAGACTCTCATACTCATATCATTTTGTTAAGCTATAAGATATACGTTTAGTATATATTTATATTTTAAGTATTATCTATTTATCCATTGTTATGCAGATTAATAGACTGCATTTTCACATATCATAGAACATTGTGATATGAATATAAATATAAATAATTGTATAAAGCTTATTTGTATTATTCTTTCCTTATTGATTATATATGGTATGTATTAATATTACATTTACAAATATAAATTCATATTTTAATTATGTATACAAAAATATATCTTTTTTAAAATGATCAAATTAAAAATATCCCTAACTTTAAAAATAAAACAATAAAACTATCTACGTACTAGATGAATCCATTTTATCACAGAACGTACATATACGAGTATGCATATACGAATAGTAAATAATTTTTTAAATGCTTCCTTCTGACGGAGTATTTTCTAATCGCTCTTTAACAGACATTGATTCTATTTCTTTAAAATTTTTTTCCTTCTGTTTTTTTTCTATCTTTAATAAAAATAACGTCAATGCTTTATTAACTTCCAAGAATACAGAATGATTTTCATTGATGGACTGCATTGACTCAGCTATGGATTCTGTAAGAATAGATAAGATTAAAAGCAAATAAATCATTTATAATAAATAAAATACACGTCTAAAAGCAATAAACAATGATTTCATTAGTAAATTTCTTTTTAAAGCTCATCATTAAGTTGTTACAATCATTCATAACCTATCATTTGGACCAATAAAATATTCATTCCAAATAATTGCTTGCATAATCTTTCTATTGAAGATTATATATTAATTATGATTAAGTTATTGAAAGTAATATATACCAATATTTTAGTATTAATATTTATATTGAATGTATATCCTAATACATACCAATAGAAGATGCTATATCATCTAATATTCCTTGTTGCGAATATTTAAAACGTTTGTTTATCTGTGCCATTACGTCATCCTTTTCATAATCTATATTTGTATACCTTTTTATGTCTCGATTCATACTGAAAGCTCAAATACTCCGAAGGATACTAAGAGAACAGAAGAAACAAGTAAAATAATTACGATCTTTGGCGGGAAATGCGTATTAATTTCCCGCATATTTCATTGACTAAACTAGTCAAATATATGATTGTAGATATCCACCATGATAATAGTTCAATTGTTCGTAACATCAAAATCACAATAATTATATAATAATATAATCTATATGTAATAATCTATGAATAATCTATTCTATTAAATAATGAAAAAATAAAATAACAATGTAAATTAATTTTAAATAATAATTACATATATAACACGAAAAGAATAAATATTAAGATGCTCTTTTGAATTTTGTTGGCATTTGTTATAGCGCGAATATAAAAAGAATTATTTTTATTTAAAAATTAATGACATTATTATTGATAAAATATATACTTCAATTAATTATCGACTTATTATATATACGTAGACGTTAATAATATTGTTTTCTAATATAATTATTGATTGAGTGTTAAGAAAAAAAGTATTCATTTATAACAAAATTCTAACATAATTAAAAATCAATATTAAAATGAAATTATTATAATAACGTTTAAATTTAAATATTCAAATGGTATTCTATAAAAATTATTTAATTTAATTAAGAAATCCTTTAAAAAAAAGAAAAAACATCGTCGTTCTGCCATCTGACGAAAGAAAAAATAAACTTTCTTTCTCTAATTCTTCTCGTCGTATCACTGGTAGATGGCGAAACGTGATCTTTTTTTCATGAATTTGAAAAAAATTTTTAACCTAACAATCTCTACGATCCAACGTTAACGAAAAATAAAAAAATTTTCTATCTTAAATAATACAAATTTCATCAAATATATGACATTAACAAAACATGTTATTTAATATATACACGTATTAATCAATGTACTCGTTGATCTAATGAATATAATGTAAATTTAATCAATATAACACTCGTACGTATCGATTCGTTCTGTTGCTAAGCTGAATTAGAAATATTTCGAAGACATGTAATTGACTCACGTTCGAGATTCGAGAACGATAAGAGCGCAAAAATCGAGAATATATCGAAACATTCGTTACATCGTTACGTATCGTTTAGCATTACGCACACATGCACACACACACGTATATATATGTACATATGTACAAGATGTATGCCTTCGATAATCCAAAAGAGTTAGCATACGATAAATGATAACGCGATGATGAACAAACTTCAAAAAGGGTGTAATTATCATCAGAATTCAAGGAAAGAAGTTAACCCCGTTTTATTTGAGACAAGGATCAAGATATATGCGTGTATATAAATAAATATAAATATATATATATATATATATTTCTCGTTCATGAAGATTCCTTCATTATCGACATCGCGTACACTCAAATACATGATCTAGATAACGCGTGTGTGATTTATTTAAATTTTTACGATGTTCGTTTTTCAATCATTCTGAGAAGGTCATTATTTACAAAGTTATTGATACAGATGGTTAATCTTCTTGAAAGGTAACAATCAGTAACTCGAACGTTTTATTATCTTTCTTATATACTTTCTATCGTCGATAATAAAACGAATCTAATGATTATTGATTAGATCTATTTCTATTATTGAAGTTTTTTTTCCTTTTTCCCTTTTAAGTTAAGAATTTTTTTTTTTTTACGAAAGCATTACACGGCCTCGTAAATTTTTAGAGGTTAGATTAAAAAAGAAAAAAAACGTAAATATAAATATATATACATATAAATATATACATATATATATATATCGAGGAACAAAAGAGATATCGAATGATCGATCTTGTGAATTCAGGAGATGCGTACGTGCCTTAAAGGTGACTTGGTGATGTAAAGAGTAAGAAAAAAGAATGGAGGAAAAGAGTGAGTGAGTGAGTGAGTGAGTGAGTGAGTGAGAGAGAGAGAGAGAGAGAGAGAGAGAGAGAGAGAGAGAGAGAGAGAGAGAGAGAGAGAGAGAGAGAGAGAGGCAAACAGTAGCTGCTGGTCGAGAGGCCGATTCACGGCGCCATTTTTTTGCGCCACCCGTTATAATTGCCGGGGCCTTGTCACTTTTGCCTTAGCTCGGGCCGCATGGCCCCTACTACATGCAGTAATGTATCTTACTTCTAGGTCGCCCTGTGACTTGTGCCGGCTACCTCAAAGAGGTTTAATTGTGAAAGAAAAAGATGCCAACAGAATGAGAGAGAGAGAAAGAAAGAAATAAAAATGGCTGACACGCATCAACGTTCGTTCTCCCTCTTCGTGACATATCGAATCAAATCACGGACTCTTTTTTTCTTTTTTTTTTTTTCTTTTTCTCTTTTTTTTTGTTTTCTTAACAAAAATATATGATAAATAATAAAAATAATAAATAAATTTGCATGACATCGAAAGCATTCGTTTTTATTATAATATCTATAAATCGATCATAAGTATTTACGTACATATGTATATAAGTAGATATATAAATCGTTTGGTAAAGGGGGATTTCATTCGATAACGATATACATCGAGAACGTTCGATAAATAATGCCCTATGTATTTACGCTGAGTTTATTCGCCCTACTAACCTAATTTCCTTATCGATTCTTCGTACTTAGCAACACCGAGCGCAAGGATTCCTCGAGAACGTTGACGTATATATGTATGCACGTATATATATATATATATATATATGTACGTATGTATGTTACACGTAAGTATGTATTCAATAATCGTGAAGGCGATTGAAAAAAAAAAAAAAAAGAAAGGAGGTAAAAAAATGAAGAAAAAAAACAAGGATAGAAAAAAGAAAGGAAAAAAGAAAAAAAAGGCAAGAAAAGCAAGCAGTCACAGCGTTGAAAGTAATGCGAACGCGGAAAGAGTACGTATGTTCCGAGTGCTCCTCCAAAGGAGTAAAGGCGGGAAATTTAAAATTCAAAGAAGGTTGAAGGAAAAAAAAAGCATACCTCGCCTACGTACTTTTACGCCACTTTCTTAAGTGTACACACATGCGTCTTTCTCTCTCGTTCTCACTCTTTATCTCTTTCTCTCTTTCTTTTATATACCTCAAGGTCTTCATGAGATGGTCCATGCAACAGCACAACAGCAGCAGGAGTAAGCTGCTTGTACGAGTTCGGACTGCTCGTAACACGGTAGCCAACACCGGTGGTGGGTTTAAATCATATTAAAGCACGTCCAGGACGCGCTAACCGTAAGCCTGGATTACGGCTACAGGCGGTTTCAACGTACCAACATCGGAGCCACCATCACAATATGTATAACGCCGTAATTCGATCGTCTTATAGACGAAAGCAAGAAAGAAGAAGAAGAAAAATAGACACGGTAGAAGAGACGGTATATTGGGATCTCGGAAGCTACCCGTGTATCGGAGATTTATCGGGAATTTAATATTTTCTTTCCCCGAAAGTTTAGATCGATATCGTGGTACCCTTCTACCTTGGTTAGATCTTTCCTTAAAAAAAAAAAACAACTCACCGTGTCTTTTAATTAATTATTAATTATTATTATTATTATTATTATTATTATTATTATTATTATTATTGTTTTATTTTTAATCTAAACAACTTAAAATTAGAGGTTAGTATCTCTGCTTAAATTAATGCAATTAAATTTTAACACGTAACCAACGCCATCTTGGAGTTAACCATCGATATCTCGATGATTAATCGACCATGTCGATAATTATCAAATATTTCGAAAAATGTAATGCTACAATTGGTAATATTCGTTAGATCTTTTCTTTGAACGTACATATGTACACATACATTTTAATTATCAATAATTATTATTTTGCTTTCTTTGATAACTATATTAGGGGTTAGTAACATAGGTTAATTAATGTCATTAATTTTAATACGGAAGTAATATCATACTTGTTAGTTAACGATATGATTAATCGACCATGTTGGTAATTATCGAATGTCTCGAAAAATGAAAAGCAACTAAATCGTACATCATACATACATACAACATACATAATCCGTATGTATATATATACATGTATTTATATACACATTATATATATATATATATATATCTGTATATACCGAACACACACAGGAGATAAAGTGATCTCGTGGAAAGTTACGAAGCGACGTGGGCAGTACGACGGTAGAAAATGGCGTGGGTCGTGACGGGTCCAGGTGGAACGTGTTTATACAAGATAGGACTCGATAAAGCATCGTCGATGCTAGCAGGAAGAATACCGAAAGAACGAAAGCGAAAAGATTTCTTTCTCTTTCTCTCACACACACATACTCTCTCTCTCTCTCTCTCTCTCTCTCTCTCTCTCTCTCTCTCAGTTTCGTAAAGATAAATATAAATCTCATATTTTCGCGCTCGGCTCATTGTAAATTCAATATGGTGTCTCTCGAGGAATAAAAAAAAAAAAATTTAAATTGACCATTGCGAATCATTTTTAAAATGTTTCGAAGAGAGAAAAGAATCGATGTATAGAGCCTGCGTTAGAGTCATTGAGCACGATTTTATTCCACCTACACGAACTAGGGAGCCCCATTCACATGAGAAAGATAGAGAATAAGAGAGAGGGGCGAGAGGGGAAGTGGAGGGAGAGAGAGAGAGCGAGAGTGAAAGAGCTAGATTATTCGTCGACGTCGACACGCGTGTCGCATTAAACGCTATCGTTATAATCCTCCCTATGATGTGCCCGGTCTTCTGTTAAGCTATGCCACGAATATGCTCTTGCATTTCGTATTTGGATATAGTTTGAAAATCCTACATACAAATGGGATTAAACAACCTAATTGATGTACATAGTTTTACAAAGTTTATTCTCTGTATATGCTATGTATATATATATATATATACATATATATATATATATATATATATATATATATCTTTCTTTCTTCTCTTTATATGCTTTTCTTATTTGAATATTATTTTTATGAATACATAAATATATCTACAAAAATATAATGGAATGTTAATAACAATTATTCTATTTCTCTTTTTCTATGCATTTCTCATTCGAATATCATTATTATATTAGAAATGTATTAAAAAGATTTACTAAAGTATAAAGAAACTTTATTAAAAGTTATTCTCCTTCATATTTTTCTATGGAATATTTTAGAATATCTTTATGTGAATCCACGATAAACTTAAGAAGAATAAAAATGTAAATGTTCCTATTATATTCTCTTTCTATGAATTATTTCATTTAAAACATTTGCTTTCTGAATAAATAAGTGAAAAGAAAAATTGTAAAGAAATAGAAGACGTTATAAAAGATTATTATCATTCTCTACCTCTTCCTATATGCATATCATATTTCAATATAATTTAATGAATGACACGTAAAATAAATTAAATTGCAAGAACATAAAATGTTTAATTTTAAAGAATGATATTATCTCTCTCTCTCTCTCTCTCTCTCTCTCTCTCTCTCATTCTCATTCCCTTGTTTTTTTTTATAATAGCAACATATTGTTTTGTAATTGCAGAAAAAAAGAGAATTAGAAAAAAGTAAAAGGTGTTAAGAAAAAATGATACCCCTTTTCCCTCCCCTCCCCACCTCACCCACTTACCACACCCCCAACCTTTTTCTTTCTTATATAGCTCTAACAAGATGAGCTGTGTGATAATAACATTCGTAACGCCACGATGCATGTCCGCGAGTTTTTACATGAGGCTTCGTCGCGTCGATACGCTTAATAATACCGAGTTAAATTACGATAATTGCGGCTTGCACGAAAGACAAATAAGAAAGAAATAATATAAAAAGTCCAAAGGATAATAAGAAAGTTCAAAGAAAGAATGAATGAAAGTAAGAAAGAAAGAAAGAGAATTTTATGCTTTACCATTATTTTATTATTTCTATCATCTTTTTATACTGCTCTATTTATCCTTCTTTCCTTTCGTTTCTCCTTTTTTTTTGTATTTCTTCTTCTCTCTCTCTCTCTCTCTCTCTTTCTTTCTTTCTCTTCTATCCGTCATGCAGCGTGTTATGATCATTAGTTGCAAGGAGTCAAAGAAATGCAAGAGAACAACGTACGGTTTCTCTAATACGTTGAGTGGACGACGAAGAGAGGATCACCTGTAATGACCACAAATGTGAACATAAAGCTACGTAGTTAAGTTTTTCCTCTCTCTTTCTCTCTCTCTCTTTCTCTCTTTCTCTCACTCTTTCTTTCTTTCTATCTCTTTTTCATTTATTTTATTTCACTTGTGATTCCTTCTACGTATCTTGTTATAATTTACCGTAAGAAAAACTTTTTATAGGTTAGGATCATGTCTTGACTCTATAACTGGAAACAATTTTCATATTATATATTATATATATATATATATATATATATATATATATATATATATCCACGTAAAAAGAGATAAAAAATGGATAAAAAAATGGATAAAAAAAATAAATATATATATATATATATATATGAGTGATACTTGTATTTATATGGTACATTACGTAGTATTCACAGAAAGAAATAGAAAAAGAGAAAATGTATTTAGAAAAAAAAAGAAAGAAAAAAAAAAGAAAAGAAATGAAGACGAAAGTAATACGACGTGACTAGAAATGATTTAACATAAAAGAAAGAAAGAAAGAAAAAAAAAACTTTTTATAGGTTAGATCGTTAAGTTGTCTCAATTCTTTGAGAAACTGAAAACAATTTTCCTATATATTATATTTTCATATTTTATAACTCATGCATATGTTATTTATATTCATAAGTATACACACGCGAGCGTATACACAGCACACACACACACATACATTTATAATTAAGGATTTGCATTTGTACATAGAGAAGGAGAACGATAGAGATAGATGGAAATATATTAAAAAGAAAACAAAACAAAAGTTTAATACTCGCGTGAGAGAAAAAGTATTATATGAAATGTAAGTATTGTATGAAATGTATGAATTAAAAGGAACATAAAAAACAGCGTAAGAGAAGAAGGCTGAGAGAAATCGTTATCCAATAGCCACGAAGAAAGGTGCAGAGAGAGAGAAAGAGAGAGAAAGAGAGAGAGAGAGAAAGAGAGAGAAAGGGAGAGAGAGAAAGAGAAAGAGAGAGAGAGAGAGTACTAGAATGAAACGTGGTGAGAGGTGAGGGATGGAGGGAGAGAAGGTGGGGGCAAAAGGAGGAGAAGGAAGAAGAAGCAAGCCGCGCAGAGTCCGCTCACAAAGCGCTCTGTGTTTACGAACTATCCGTGGCTCGTACGCACCAGTTGTAAATTACCACGTGTCCACGGCGTAATGCTCGCTTTTACTATTCCACTTTAGACCTGGTGTGCTTCGTGTGTCGCATTCACCCTTGATAAAACGTGTACGCTTAACTACGTATATATATACTGTATACATATGTACATATGTATGTGTATATATATATATTTAATTTATTTTGCGTATATATATATATATATATATATATATATATATATATTATATACTGAGAAAGGTAGGTAGGATACATGAACGTAGCAAAACGTTTAACTACCATGAGGCTGAGCCACGGTAAATCGGAAACGAGGCTGTATAAAGGAGAAACGCGTGTAAGAAGTAAAGAAAATTGTAGGCAGCTAGGCTTCCAAGGAGAAAACGTTGGAACGCACTGCTCGAAAGGGTTTATAAAATAATCGGCGAATCCGATGGTGTGAGCGTATATAACGCGAGCGAGTAGATATAATGGAAGGGATATTTCTAGAGAGAGAGGGATAGATAGAGATAGGAGATAGAAGAAAAATTATTATTTTACGCTAGTTGTTTGAATTTACACGAGAGAAGAGTATATTTCACGGATGAGTATTTTCATTTGAAGTTCCGGGATAGGATTATTTTATTTTGTTTCTATTAAGTTTTGAAATTTTTTTTCTTTCTGTTTTTTTTTTTCTTTCTTTTTTTTTTTTTTTTTTAATTTTAATTTTGCCGCCCATGATTATTATGCAGCCATTTTCTTAAGAGTCAAATCAAAGACTATTTTCTTTAATAATCGAAATTGTACGATTATTTGTACAGTTTTTGATTTGACTATTATCAAAATGGCGATGATATCGGGGCGCCAAATTTAAAACATCATTAATATATATTAAATATATATATATATAGATATATGTTTTTTTTCTCTTAATTTTGATTCCTTCAATTTCGATTTAATTTGCAATCTCTTATAATATTATAATATAATAATTAAATAAAGGTAAAATTCAATTGTTTTCTAAATTTTCGTAATCGCTGGTAGAAATTAAAAAAAAAAAGAAAGAAAGAAAAATTAATACAAACAAATAAAACGATTATATAAAATAAAAAATGATTGTCTTCACTTTTATCAAATACAATTTCTAACAACGATTGCAAATGCAATCCTCTTTGTTTCTCATCAAGAAAACTTGACATTCAAGTTGAGTATCGTCAACCCTCCAACGCAGACTCTTCCCCATCCATACTAAACTAACGTGATATGAATTTTGTATCATCCCTTCTCCCATAAACCGTCTTCTCCTATACTTATATGATCGTGAATTATGGAGAGAAAATGCAACGACGTGCTAGGCAGATGAATTGAAATCTCTCGATCGTTTTCTCTGGAACCCTCCCATCTTTCTTTACCATACCCAGACATTACAATAGTTCAACCAAATCTCTTATGGTGAAATTTCAATTGATATCAGTTTAAGGGACATTCCAATGATAAAGATATAACATTAATGAATTCAATTTTAAACACTTACTCGATGTTCTTATTTTATGAAAATTAGAATTTTAAATGATCTATCTTCCCCTCCTTTTCTCCTTCAACATCCTCTCCTTGTTATCTATATCTTCCTTCTTTCTCTTTCCATATATTCTAAAAGTCTTTGATATCTTTGAATAGATAAGAGGTAGTAGACTGTTTACAACTTCATTAATATTGACTCCGTACCCTCTAAAAGGATGCAAGAGATAGAGCATAATGAATAGAAATGTTCATTGTGAATGTTCTGATTAGATTATTTAATCTGACATATATAATAGTATATAATTATATATATATATATATATATATGTATATATTTATATATATATATATAATGATAATAGTATATAATTATAAATATATATAATTATATATATAATGAATATATAATATATATAATATATATATAGGGAGAGAGAGAGAGAGAAAGGTAAATAATTTGTAAGGAAGAGAATATGCAAGAAATTAGAGTTAAATGCAATGTGATAAATACAATCCATAAATATGTATACCACAGCGATACCACAAAACCTCATGTCTTCTATGTTTCTCTCTCTCTCTCTCTCTCTCTCTCTCTTTCTTTTAAGAAGGCAAGAAGAGGGGTGTTTGAGAGGAAACGAAAGGAAGGTAGAGGAAAAAAGGAGTAACAATTTACGAGTCGCCTGAATTTACGATTTGGCGGGTGGAAAGAAAGGAAATAAAGAAAGGATGAAATAAAAGGCAAAAAAGAGGGAGAGAGAGAGAGAGAGAGAAAGACAGACAGAGACGTACATACAGAGAGAGAGAGAGAGAGAGAGAGAGAGAGAGAGAGAGAGAGAGAGAGAGAGAGAAAGAGAGAGAAGAAAAGTCTAGTGGTGAAACGAGGTGGTTAACTCGTACTCGAGAATCGCTTGGTAACTTCGAAGACTGCGTGTTGAGTACTCAAGAAGTAAGAAAGAGAGAGAGAAAGAGAGAGAAAAGGAACACACGATAACCACGTGGACTCAGTGAAGCCGTAAATGGTAACGCGAGATGAGGAAGATGGGACCAGCAGGCAAAAGGGGGTAGAAAACTAGGTGAGTATGCGAAATCTCTTCTCTCTTTCTCTTTCTTTCTTAAGAGATCATTCGATCGCAAATTTATAAGATTAAACCGGTTCCTCCTAGCTCTCCTCCTGTTCGATGCTCACGTTCTTGCTGTTGGTACTACCAACAAACACACACAACAAACACCATCGAAGGTCCAAAGCAAATTCAACTGTGTGGTGTGCCACGTTTGTCCCTACGTGTAAGACACAACACAACAAACAATTGTGGATAAAATAATATCGTTAGGGAGTCTCTCATTTTCTCTCCAAAAATAATTAGTTACCTTATTTCAAATATATTTTCCAATATGGTTATTAGTAATTATGTTGAATCTCATTGATCAAATATATCTCGAAGGATTTCTCTAAATTAATAATGAATATTTATTAATTATAAAATTAAGTTCAAATTAACGGAACTCGTACGAAGTTTTCTAATTACTTGCGTTTTCGTATCTCTTCTTCGTTTTCTTTTTTCTTTTTTTCTTTTCTCTTTTTTCTTTTTTTTTTCTTTTTTTTTCTCTTTTTCTTTTCTTGATGAACTTATCGACATGTATTGATTTTTAATCGACATTTCCGTACCTGTAAACAAGTTAATATCAACAATAAAAAATTGATGAAAATATCTTCATAGGATAATACTGAATTATATCGTTCTCAATCATCTATCTCATCATTTTTGTCCAAATAAAACGTACAATAACGTTCAATATCATTATCAAAATACACAATTGACTATCAATTGAAATATTATAGATTATAATACTGAATCATTCATTTCTTATTTTTGTCTTTATATAAATTAAATAAAAATTTGTTCAAGATTATTTTGACATTACGTATCTTGATATGATCAAAATCTAATCATTTTCATACAAAACATGTGATAAGTTTAGAGAGAGATAGAAAGATAGAGAGAGAGAGAGAGAGAGAGAGAGAGAGAGAGAGAGAGAGAGGACAATCTTTTAATGTCAACGTCAAATCGAAGAAAAGAAAAAAAAGGAAAGAAAAGACAAGTAAAAAAAAAAAAAAAAGAAAAAAAATAGAAAAAGGAGAGAAAAAAGGAAGAAAAAGAAAGAGAAAAAGGAACCGAGGAGAATGATCCAAGAGATCGAGACTTTCGTGAATCCGGATCCGTGGGTCGAATCCGATCCAGCATCTCGCGTGTCGAGACACGCTTCGCTCAACTGTGTTCCCTTTCTCTCTCTCTCTCTCTCTCTCTCTTTTGTGTGTACTCTTTCAGTCCTTCCAGTCCCTCTTCAATAGCTAGCCAACCATCTCTCTCTCTCTTTCTATCTCTCCCTCTCCCTCTCTCTCTCTCTCTCTCTCTCTTTCTCTTTTTCTCTCACTCACTCATACTAGTGAAAAACAAAAGGAGCAACTGGTCGATCCAAAAAGAGAGAGAGAGAGAGAGAGAGAGAGAGGGAGAGAGAGAGAGAGAGAGAGAGAGGAAAAGAACTGGATGAGTATACGAGAGAGGAACTGAAGAGGGAACATCTCTCGAAGAGGACCGTATTTTCTCTCTCTCTCTCTCTCTCTCTCTCTCTCTCTCTTCCTCTCTTTCTTTCTTACTTCTTAAAGAAAGAGAGAAAGAGGGAGAATGATAAAGAAAGAGAGAATGTGAGCAGCAACAAGAGCAACCGTGACGCCGTACAAAGAGAGCAACGGGTATAAGGAAGAAAAAGGAGGAAGAAAACAGGCCCTCAGGGCAAACGGAAAAGGATAGGTCGTTGGATTGCTCGAGAGGGCAGAGGAGAAAAGACAGAAAATATATATATATATATATATTATATGTGTATATATATATATTAATACGTATGTATGTGTACATATATGTGTATATATATATATATATATATATATATATATATATATATAGTAAAGGAAGAAGAAGACGAAAGAGAAGAAGAAGAAAAAAAAGAAGAAGAGACTCCAGGGATGTAAGGTGCAAACCTTCGTGCCTTATGCCGACTGACACGGATTTCTAATCGGTAGATTAAGTATTCAATAATTTTTTATACAAGTTAGAAATTAGTAGCTATTTGACGATTAATTTTTCTTCTTCTTTTTCTTTCTTTTTCTTTTTTTTCTTTTGTTGTTTTGTTTTTTTTTTTTCCTTTAACATTTCGTTATTATCGTTGTCAGATGTCCTTGATTCCGTTCATTCGTTCGACATTTTTAATGATAATCAGTAGGAAAAGATTTTCGAATGAAGTTCGTTCGTGTCATCGATGGAAAATAAGTTTCAAAGAATGTTTTCTATTGAAGGAAAAAAAAATGTTTTAAGATACTTGAATGTTTCAATTCTCTTTTTTTTTTTTTTGTTTCCCTCCCCCCCCCCTTCCCCTTCAAGAAAATCAATTGCTTTATCTATAATTTACATTGAGTTTCAATTTTGTCTCATAAAATTTTTCATCACACTGTTTGAACAATGTTCGCCACTTTTTTTCAAGGTCATCTCAAGGAGATTCCATTCTCTAACGACGATTCTTTACTATCATCTACTGTATCTTTATTTATTTATTTATTTATTTTTTTTCTTTATTTAATCTCTTCGTCGATCATTTTCTCAGTTATCTTTCTGGTCCACCTTCTTCTTATTCGTTTTCGTTTTCGTTTTCATTTTCGTTTTTTGTTTCTTTTCTTTTTTTTTTTTTTTTCTTCTTTTTCTTTTTATATTTCTTCAATGCAAACGTATCGAAGAAGCACCGGTTACTTCGCATCTTCATGTTACTCTCTTGTCGAGAACGAGTTCGACTTCAAGTTCGATCGAGGGACGTAGAGCTAGCAAGCAAGCAAGCAAGCAAGAAGCAGATACATACACCGATCGGGGACCTGAAGAAAAGGAACGACCCATGTAATTGATCTCGCTCAAGCAACGCGAGATACGAAGTGTTAAACTTATTTCGTTGGTACCTTATCCGATTGAAACTTTGGTCCAACTTCTTCGTTTATTTCTTTTTTGTTTTGTCATTTTTTTCTTGTTTCTTCTTCATCTTCTTCTTCATCTTCTATTATGCCTCATCCTCGCAGTAGTACATTACACATTGTGTTTTCGTCATTTTTATCACATTTCAAAAATAGTCTCTTAAATCAATTATTATTGAAATAAACGAAATTCAGATACTCTACATCTGTAAAAAAAAAAAAAAAAAAAAAAAAAAGAAAAGAATATTAAAACACATAAATTAATTATTCAGAGAATAAATTTTATACATTTGTGCTTTCATATGATATAAATTTATAATTGATTTCATTGATTGTTGAAATTTAATTGATCATCAAGTTGTCTATTGAAAATTTCAATTTATACTATAATATATACATATTTTTTTTTTTTTTTGTTTAATTATTTACAATCAGCTTATCATCTTTTATATTTTATTTCATCGATTTCAATTTCTTAAAATTTGATTCTAAAATTTAATTCTTTTTATTTTATTATTATTATTATTATTATTATTATTATTATTATTATTTCTTTTTTTTTTTTCTAAAAGAGTCTAATAAAATATTTTTTGTTTTGATTTTATCAGATAAAAAGCAAAAGGATTATATTTCATTCTCTATTCCACGTACGCGTTCACGTAAACAATTTTACTAAGAGAAGGTATTTTTATACTCTCCATAGATGCAATTACGTTAATTCGTAAACGGGGAAAAATAGTTGCCACGCTATCGAATGCATCGCCAGGAATATATGACGCGATCAAAGGTCGGCATGCAAATTACGGACGGTTAAGGCGAGTCGCTGCATTACGGTAATTACCGGTTTTGTTAAGTACAGAAATAAAAGATCAAAGAGAGATACATTATAGTCCCAAACGCTTTGTAACAGATAAATTGGTATGAAACGATTGGGAAAAAAATTGGCCAATGTTTTTTTTCTCTCTCTCTCTCTTTCTTTTTTTTTTCCCCTTATTCAATCGCCAAAGAGCACATTGATTTAATGTTCTTTAATTTAATTTTTAGAAGGCTTTCATTTTCTCTTCATTCATTCATCATCATCATCATCTCATCATCATCATCATCATCATCATCATCATCATCATCATCATCTTCATCATCATCATCATCATCATTACTATTATTATTATTATTATTATTATTATTATTATTATTATTATTATTATTATTATTATTATTATTATTATTTCTGTTTGTTTCTTTTCTGAATAAAATCCTGTATTTATTTGTTAATAATTAATTGAAAATTATCATTAAGTAATGTAATTAATTATTGAATTAATTAATTTGAAAAAACAAAATCCTTTGACTTTTTTCATGCACTCATATTATTATCATTATTATTATTATTTCAATTATTCATAATATCCTACGTTATTTATTGTAGATCTTTTCAGATTATCATTTCTTTATATAAAAAAATAATTATTATAATTAATTTTGTACGAGCCTTTGAATCTCTTGAATTTATTTGAAACAACATTATTCTTAATAAAAGTGAAGATCATTCGATAATATTTTACATTGTAATGAAAACAATTGATAACTTACATAAGTCAATCAATTTTGCTTTCTTCAAATCTTCAAAAAATTTAATTTTATTATTACTATTATTATTATTATTATTATTATTATTATTATTATTATAGTAGGAGATATCCATAACGAGGATAAAATCGGTATTTTGTTTTCTTCATGAAGATGAGAGAATAAGGAAAAGGGTGAATATCAAAAGAAATCTCGTGTATTCCAAAGAAAATGTAAAGCCGGCTGTAACGACGGATGTGGTTGTGGCTCGTCTTCCATTTCTTCCCTTTCTCTCTCTCTCTCTCTCTCTCTCTCTCTCTCTCTCTCTCTCTCTCTCTCTCTCTCTGCCTCTTTCTCTTTCAAGAGACGTATAACTTGTACGTTCATAACCACAGTGCTTCAATGACTTCCGTAATTTGACTCGTCACCTGCCTGTCGTCCAAGTTAAATTCGTTCTATGTATGTAGAAGAAGAATACGGATAGGAAGCCAATGAAAAGTGGAGTCAAGTGTAACGGATCTTCATGAACGTTAGACGTGTAACAGTTTACAACAGTGACATTTGAGTTATCTTCATTTCCATCGGATGTACATACACATCGGATGTACATATATATATGTATATAACAAGAAATATCTGAAAATCAAATACATATTTTAATTAAAGATATAGTTTAAACCGTTCAATAATATTTGTATCTTGATTAATTTGTCTAATTTATGTATATGATATATTTAAATATCGACATATACTTATATCATCTTTGTGACTATTAATAGTATTTCTAGTTTCATTTGACTCATTTTGTATCATATATAATATTATTAAAATAATAATATATATTTGATACATAACATAATTTTTCTCAATTCCAGTTGAGTTAAAAAGTATTCTTATGTTATTAAATAATATTCTATATAATTTTTATACGACTCACCCTGTATATAATATATTTAAAATATTGACATATGTATGTATGTATGTACATATATGCCACCTTTGTTGTCTTCGCAAATAATTCCTATCGTTCTATAAAGAGGCACGTTATAATCGTTATCAATAATGGCGTGAAGATAAATCCTCCATGGTATAAAGAGGGAGAAGTGTCAAGATGAAACTTGGAATACAACTGGGCTGGGATGACTTTGTGGTTCTCTAGAAGGAGGTGACGCGGTCAGGACGACTCAAGTAATGGGAAGTAGATAGACCAGTAGATTCACCGTTTTAAGAATTCTTCTTTTTTCCCCATTTTGTAAAATATATATATATATATATATATATATATATATATATAATATATAATTATAAGAATTAATAAGAGATAATAAAATGTAATTTCAAAAGTGTGTTATAAATTTTTTTTTGTACTATCAAACACTCAAAACAATTATCAGTCTGTTCATCATCTTTTTAACAAATAAAATAATTCTTTTGATATAGATTATATAATGACTTATGAAATATATATATATATACATATATATATATATATATATATATA